AGGTCTTTCCCGTTCTTTTCAGCCATTCCTTTTGGATAAAAGAAAAGTCAGTGGCGACTCTTGCTAACCGCAACATTTGCGATAAAACAAAAAACAACCAAGTCAGTTCTCCCACCGTATCACAGGTAGGCATACTCCAAACTCCATCTCCCCGACGGTCAGAAAGACCACGCGAGCATGCTTCTCGTAAGGCTGACACTCAACACCTCTGAATGTCACATAGTATCTTTGACCCCGAAAAGACTGCATCTATATCTTCTTGATAGTTTAGAGGACTCCATTCAGGTTAGGGACCACGTGCTGGCCCCTACTACGCACGTAGGACCTGGAAGTCTCCCTTTCAGGCCTGCTTGCTCAGCCCAACAATGGGGATCTTGGCCCATCGTTGGGGGATATAAATACCCTCTCACTAGAGAGGGTCAGATATTCATTCACTTGCTCATACTCTCATACTTGTTTGCACTTATTCTGAACCTTACTTTGGCATCAGAGTATCTTGCAGGTACCCTCCCACTTCGCATTCAAGCGCTGCTCGACTTGAAGCTTGTGGGCTTTGACAATCCCTTCTGATCAGGTACAATCAATAAGTTTTGTGAGACTATTTGTCTAAGAGAACTATTAAAAGAACTTATGACATTGTTCATAAGGTGTTTTCATCTTATTTTCACAAGTTCTAAAAGATAATCAAGTTTTATTTATGTATTTTAATTCAAAATACAAAATATAACATAATGATAATAAAAAAATGTTCATATTTATTTAAATATGCCAGCTTGATAGGCTTAAAATGTTTTTTTATGGTCTGAGGTCTAACCCTTTTAACTAAATATACTTATAAAAAAGCCTAAGCCCGAGTAGGCTAGACTGTAGGCCACTGTTAGTTGGTCTGACCTATTTTCACCCTACAAACCATCGATTTAGGTTTAATTGATTTGCTACCAACTGAATAAAGGCTAATTAAACTAAATACATTTAAATAAAAATTAGAAGAGTCTTTCTCAAATTCCATCAAAGCTTACTAAGGTCGCATGGATCTCATAATCACACAAAAACACATGGAACTTGAAATTGCTAAGGTCGCACGCATGGATGTCATAATCACACAAAAACACATGGAACTTGCAAATTTAACAATATGACACGACTCCGTGTCCATCTTTATAGCTCCTCTAATTTAAGTTAATCGAATTCCATATTTTTGGGATGAGATACATCTACGTGACATTAGCTATAACTTACTGTGCTTTCCTGAGCCAACAGGAAAAAAAGGTTTTGAGACTAACTAGATATGAAGAGAAATACAACTCATAATTGTACATCTTTTAATCAAAGTTCTCATGTCTCCATTTGAGTGTGTTTACTTTCAGAAAAAATATTGCATATGAACTTTATACCATTTTAAATGTCGTCTCTTTTCTGGAAGAGTGAAGTGTCTGTTAGAGTAGGAACCAAATAAATTGAATTCTCAGAAAAAAAAGTTATGAGAAAGCCCAGAGATGAGAAGATAGAATTGATCAAAATTTTGCTTGCTTCTTTATTTCCTTTAGAAATAATATATAGGAAACATTCTTAACAGAATTTCCCTAATTATAGGATCTGTTAACACTTTTACCCTACACACTAACAAAAATTCTAGACAGCTAATCATTAGGATAGTACAAAAAATTATTCATGTTCTAGGAGCAAAAAGAAGCTATTTGAATCTTTCTAGTCTAAGAAACGATTTGGCCTCACAATTTTCCTTTTGGGCCTATTGTTCACCCCTTCTTCAAGACCATTCCCATTAGAATAACTAGTTTGAACTATATCATTACCTCCCTGGTTGAGAGGGATCTTGTCCTCAAGATCAGCAATAGAAGAAGTGTCTTCTAACTCAAGTTGAGCCCCCTCAACAACTTCTGTCAGATGCGACGATATTGGGAAAATCTGAGTGTCCAGCTCTCCATGGCACAACTTCAACAAGGAAACTTGAAACGCCAGATGGACCCGAGCAGACGGTGGAAGTTGTAGTTCATACGCCACAAGCCCAATGCATTTGAGGATGCAAAATGGATCATAGAAGCATTTTGACAACTTCTGAGATTCTCTATTTTTTATTGAGAGCTAAAGATATGGATGAAGCTTTAAGTACACCCATTGATTAACCTCAAACTCCTTGTCAGACCGTTTCTTGTTGGTTTTATACACCATTTGATTGCATGCTCTGATCAGATTGGTTTTCAACTGAGCTAACACTTACTGACGCTTTGTTAACAAATCGTCTAAGGTTCTAATCTTATATTCCCCCTGTGAGTAATGTGAGATGAGAGGTTGATGTCTGCCATAGAGTGCCTCAAAAGGAGTCATGCCAATAACTGAGTGAAAAGAAGAGTTATACCAAAATTCTGCCAAGGGTATGAATCGTGGCATTGATGTGACTCCTCAATAACAAAACAGCGTAAATAATTTTCAAGGCAACAATTTACGACTTCCGTTTTCCCATCCATTTGGGTGTGATATGAACCACTGAAAGCAAAGGAGGTCTCCAAACGCGTGAAAAGTTCTTTCCAAAACTTACTGATGAACAACTTATCATGATCACTCACAGTGGGTTTTGGTAAACCATGTAACTGATAGATCTTTGCCAAGAAATTCGAGGCTAGTGCAGTAGCAAAAATACCACTAGGTAAAGCAATGAAGTGAGCAAATTTGGTGATTCGATCCACAACAACCCATATAATAGTTTTGTTAAGAGACCAATGGTAGATTAGTGATAAAATCCATTGAGATATTTTCCCAAAACTTGTGTTGGCACTGGTAGGGGCTGTAGCAATCTGTAAGGGCTATGAGTGTCATATTTATTGTATTGACACACTGAGCATCTATGCATAAAATCCTTCACATCAGCGTGCATTTTTGGCTTAAAAAATGCAGCTGAGAGTCGAGCCAGAGTAGTCTTAATGTCGGAATGTCCCCATAATGGTGTCTCATGGAACTCAAGGAGCAGAGATTGCTTAATTGCAGATGCATTAGGAAAAAACAATACGTCCTTAAAGTAAAACAAGCCTTGTTTCTCAACAAATAACGGATTAACATGCAACTTTGTAACAATAGTCTTGCCTTCAGGATCAGAAGCTAAAAATTCGACCAGTTGCTGCAACAAGGTAATTGTAAGTGCAGATATGGCGGTAAAGGTGGGAATGTTAGTTGGTTCCATGATGCGAGGAAGAGCGTAAGCGAAACAATTATCTATCCCCGGAAAGTAGTGGATCTCATAATGGTACCCCAAAAGCTTAGCCAACCATTTTTGTTGCTATGGTGTGTGAGTAGATTGCGTTAAAAGGCTCTTAAGACTCTTGTGATCAGTGGACATTTTAGAGGTATGGCCTAGAAGGTATTGTCACCACTTTTTTTACCGCCTCAGTAAGTGCATACAACTCCCTAATGTAAGTAGATGATGCAACTAAGCAAGGACTGAGCTTCTTGTTAAAGAAGGCAATATGAAGGTGCTTTTGAGATAACACCGCTCCAACGGCAATTCCAAATGCATCTGTTGTGACTTCAAAAGGTAGGCGAAAATCTGGTAAATGAAGGATATGGAGATTCAATTTAGTAGCCTTCAATCGAACAAAAGCTTGGGCTGCAACTTCATGCCAACAAAAAGTGGAACTCTTGAGAAAATCAGTAAGAGGATTTTCTAGTGAAGCAAAATTCTGGACAAAACATCGATAAAACCCCGTTAGTCCCAACAATGCTCTATGAGTGGTGAGAGATGTAGCAGCTGGCCTTTCTGCAATAGCTTTGATCTTCTCAGGGTCAGCTTTCACACCTTGGGAAGATATGAGGTGTCCCAAATAATCAACAATTTCTACTCCAAATTTGAACTTTTTGAACTTAGCGAAAAACTAATGAGAAAGTAACATAGATAAAACATGTTCCATTTGCAGCAAATGATCAAACCAATCTTTTGCTATAAATGAGAATATCATCAAAAAATACAAGTGAAAATTTTATCAAGAAAGGTCGCAAGAGATCATTCATGGCTGTCTGGAATGTATAGGGAGCATTGGTTAGCCGAAAGAGCATGACTTCAAACTTGTAATGGCTGTCAAAAGTGTGGAACCCAATTTTACACACATCATCCTTCGCAAAGATCAATCTTGGAGAAATATAAGGCCCCATTAAGCTAATCCAACAACTCATCTATAATAGGGATGGGAAAATGATCCTTGATTATAATGACATTTAATGCCTGATAATCCATACAAAAACTCCATGTACCGTCCTTTATTTTACCAGTAACACCAGTGAGGAATAAGGGTTGGTGCTAGGTTGAATCAATCCCTCAATTAACATCTCTGTAACTGCAGCTCAAGGATATTATGGGAGCTTCCTGTATCAACTAACATAGAAACAATGTGACCCAAAATTGAAGCAGCAAAACACAATGTCCTAGGAGAAGGAGTTTGGGCCTATTGTTTACCCTTTCTTCAGGCCCATCCCCATTAGGTTTACTAGTTTGACTCATTTTAGCGTGTCTTCGATAAGACCATATTAATTCTCAATGGTTGACATATTCAAATAATAGTTTGAGAACAAATGTATTATGAGTATTATTGTTAAAATTTTGGTAGAGTTGAGTTTCATCAAATATATCCTTACAAATCACCCATGTAAAAATCCTCCCATAGACTTGATAATTAAACCTATGACTTTTTTAGATGAGACAACTTTTTTTAAAGTGATTTTGTCTTAGTAATATATATATATATATATATATATATATATATATATATATATATATATATATATATATATATATATATACTAAAACGACTCATTTTTTTAAAGTTATTTAAAATATTATTTTAATTGTATGCTCCATATATTTGCACATGAAGACTTAGTAATACTACTAGTATTTTATTTATTTCAAAAGTAAAATAAATTAGTTATTTGGTATGAGCACATGAAAGCTATAGAAAAAACTTTTGTTCGGCATCAACAGAATACCAGCCCCGATGCTTCTATTCCCCCAACCGCTCTTACCCGTAGCAGAAGTATCTCACCACTACTTCTAAGTTGTATAACACCAACTGCGGCCACCGTTTCTTTCTACTTCCACAACTCTTTTAACAGCCTGACAACACTGTGACTCGCCGGAATCGCTTCTGTATCAGCCGTAACACTGTTTCACAGCAACCAAAACATCTAGGTTAGATTTTGACTCCGTTCCCATTATTCAATTCAATGTCTCTCATTTTCTCTATATTCTATCGATTCAAGAACCTAACATTAACCGCTTTTTCTGATTTTCTCTGTATCTTATCAATTCAAGAAGCTAATATCATCCGTTTTCAATTTTGCAACCAATTGCGATTTTCAATTTTGCAGTTTCTGATTCAGTTTCAATTGTGATGTCCAAGGATAATGACGCAACCAATTTGTCTCGCACCTTCAAATACCTTTTAGGTTTGCTTATTATTTTCAACACATCAATTGCACAATTTCATCATTTTTAACTTCTTTAGATAAATAAATGTTAAGTAAAACTCTTGGATGGTTATAAATAAATGTTAAGTAAAACTACACTATGAATTCTCAATGCACTATTTGTATTGACCTATTTTTTCTCCAGATAACAATTATGATCAGCTTTGTCATAAACATGTGCTAGATTATCTTTAGTGGGAAATTCGGCATGTCCATATTCCCTTCTTGTATTACTTCACGAATGAGATGGTATTGAACTCTTATGTGCTTTGTTCTGAAATGAAAAGTTGGATTTCTTGCAATGTGCAAGACACTCTGACTGTCACAATACACCGTAATCTTATGTTGCTTGTGCCCGTGCCCGTGCTCTTCCAGTAAACTCTGAATCCAAATGGCCTCCTTGCATGTTTGGGTAGCTGCCATATATTCTGCTTCTATAGTAGATAAAGCTACAAAGGTTTGTAATTTAGATAACCAACTCATTGTTCCCCTTGCAAGTGTAAATGGATAGCCAATAGTAGATTTTCTTTTGTCAAGATCATGTACAAAGTCTGAATCAACATATCCCCTGACAACAAATTCTGATCCTCTAAAACATAATGCAAGATCTGAGGTTCCTTTAATGTATCTTAGAATCCTCTTCACAACATTCCAATGCTCTTTACCTGAATTTGTCATAAACCGATTAATCGTCCTAACTGCTTGAGCGATATCTACAAATCATTGCATACATAAGGATTCTCACCGGTGATGCATATGATACGCAAGACATTTCCATCCTCTCTGCTTCGTTGCTAGGACACACACCTGAGGATAATTTATAATTGACAGGTAGTGGGGTAAATATCCGCTTACAATCTTGCATATCGAAGCGCCACAAAACTTTCTGAAGATAATTCTTTTGAGAGAGCCAAATCTTCCTATCTTTTATGTCTCGGTGAATTTGCATCTCTAGAATCTTGTTTGCGGGTCCCAAGTCCTTCATGTCGAACTCCTTAACTAACCACGCCTTCACTTCTTGGATTCGGTCTTTGTTGGGACCTACCACCAACATGTCATCCACATACAACATCAAAATGATGAAATCATTACCCTCAAACCTCTTGTAATATGTACAATGGTCTGGGCTTAGCCTGTTGTATCTAAGGCTAATAATGAAGGAATGGAATCTCTTGTACCAACACCTCGGCGCCTGTTTTAAACCGTACAGAGATTTGATCAACATGCAAACCAAGTTTTCTTTTCCTTTTTCTTAGAACCTTCTGGTTGGAGCATATATATTTCTTCTTCAAGTTCTCCATGAAGAAAAACAGTCTTTACATCCAACAGTTCAAGATGTAAGTCATAAGCAGCACACATAGCTAACACTACTTTGATAGTGGTAAGTCTAACCTCTGGGGAGAAAATTTCATTGAAATCAATGCGTTCCTTTTGAGCTTATCCCTTTACCACCAGTCTTGCACGATATCTTTGCACTTGATCATTACCATCACGTTTGATCTTATAAATCCATTTGTTGCCTATGTCTTATTTTTATGTAATGCTTCCATTTCTTCCTGCATTGCTGCCATCCATAGAGAAGCATTATAACAACTCATCGCCTCTTGAAAGGTTGATGGTTCTCTCTCTTCTGTTTGAAGACAATATGCATCACGGTTTGCCCTAACATAGTCCGATTGCCAATTTGGCTTCCTTTTTTGACGTGTTGATCGTCGAACTTCAACACCATCGGGTTCCTTTGGTTCTTGTACCTCGTGCTCTGGTTCTGATTCAAAAGAATCATCTTCTCCAGACAATCCATCTATATGAACAATAGTTATATCTTTAGAAGTTTTGTCATTTTTGTGCCCCCTTTGCAGTTCATTCTCTGCAAAGATTACATTCCTGCTGACAATAACCTTCCGGGCAATGGGATCCCACAAGTGATACCCCTTAACACCGTCAGCATAGCTCAAGAATATGTATTTCTTGGATTTTGGATTCAGCTTAGTTCTTTCCTGGGAGTTATACATTACGTACACAGGACATCCAACCACATGTAGAGTAGAATACTTAGCTGGCTTTCCATTCCACATCTCCATAGGTGTCTTTAAACCAATTGCAGTTGATGGCAATTGATTTATCACGTAACAGATAATTTTCACGACTTCAGCCTAGAACGACTTGGCTAATCCTGCAGTTCGCAACATAACTCTAGTCCTTTCTTGGAGATGTCTATTCATTCTCTCTGCTACACTGTTCTGCTGAGGTGTATGAGCAGTTGTAAATTGTCTCATTATACCCCCTTCCTTGCAGAATGCCAAAAAGTCACCGTCTGTATATTCTCCTCCGTTGTCTGACCTCGAGAACTTAAATCTTTGCAATTTCAAGCTCCGCTAGTGTTTTGAATTGCTTGAATATTGAAAACACATTTAACTTCTTGATTGGGTATACCCACAATCTCCTAGAGTAATCATCAATGAATGACACAAAATATTTTGCTCTTCCTATGGACATTTGTGGTGACTCCCACACATCAGAATGAATCAAGTCATTTATGTGTTTGCTCTTAGTAGTTGATATATCAAACTTCAACCTATGTTGCTTGCTTATCACATAATGCTCACAAAAAGGTAAACTTACAAATTTGAGCATGGGTAAGAGATCACGCTCCGCAAGAAATTTCAAGCCTCATTCGCACATATGGTCCAGTCTTCGATGACACATTGTCGTTGAGTCTTCTTGACCAGTTGACGCAATTGATGCATTTGCCTCTTGCAATGTTTCTCCCAAAAGCATGTATAGATTTGCAAATAATTTCTCTGCTCTCATCACTGCTAGAGAATCTTTCACCATTTTCAAGATCCCACCTTCAATATGGGTCAATATGGGTTTTGCACCCGAGGTCATCTAATTGTCCAATAGACAATAAGTTCTTCTTCAGCCTCTTCACATGTCGTACCCCTTGCATTGTGCGAACAATACCATTATACATTTTTATTTTGACAGTACAAACTCCAACAATTTCTAAGGCATAATCATTTCCTATGAATACAATTCCTTCTGAGATAGGTTCATAAGTCCAAAATCAATCTCGTCGAGGAGTCATGTGCCATGTTGCTCCTAAATCAATTATCCAAACATCAATGAGTTGTTTACTACCTTTGGAACCAATTGCTACTTTGTTATATATGATCTCTCCATCATCAACGGTACTGGCAACACATCCTTGAGATGAACTTGCCTTAAAAGACTTCTCACCATTCTTCTTAAACCAACAATCTATTTTCAAGTGCCATTTCTTGCCACAGTTGTAGCATCTCAGGTTTATCTTCGAGATTTTGATCTACCATGATTTTGGCTCCCCCTGGGGCCACATTCCATTGATCTGCCTCTCGTCATTTTCAAAGCTTCTACTTCCTTATTTATACGCCTGGACTCTTCCTCAAGAATAGCTCCGACAACATCAAAGTATAGATCGTCTGTAACATTATTATTTGTTAAGTTGACGACAAGTGGATCATATGAATTTGATAAGCTCTGAAGTAGAATTCCGCACGTTCATTTTCTGCTATGCTGAAATTTGCCGATGTAAGTTGAGCAAATATTGTATTTAGCGTGTTGATGTGATTTGTCACGGATGTGGATTCACTCATACGAAGAGTGTAAAGTCTCATCTTTAAGAAAATTCGGTTGTGAAGTGACTTGACCTCGTACAATTTGATGAGAACATCCCAAATCTCCTTTGCAATATTCTTTTCTTCAACGCTAGGCAAAACTGAATGCGCCGATGCTAAGTGCAAATTGGCAACAACGTTGTTATCCATCTCATTCCACTTCTCGTCAAATATTTTCTCAGTTCTACTTTCAATTACTGCCAAGCAATTATCCTTCCTCAGGATTGCCTTTATCTTTAATTTCCACATGGAGAAATTACTCCCATTGAACTTCTCAATCTCGAATTTGCTGTCATGGAAATTTCAATTGAACTGACTTGCTCAATTTCACCGTGAGTAACAAAGTATACGTGAACAATAACTTGCTCAATTTCACCGTGAGTAACAAAGTATACGTGAACAATATTGTATATTCTATACACTATAACAAATCTAGCATGCGTTAACAATTACTGCAAAAGTATACAATAACATGTGTGAATAGTAACTGTGAACAATATACGTAGCGGAATAGGGACCAACACCAATATCTCTGATACCACTTTTGGGTAACACAAGCAACATAAGATTATTGTGTATTGTGACAGTCAGAGTGCCATGCACATTGCAAGAAATCCAACTTTTCATTCCAGAATAAAGCACATAAGATCTCAATACCATTTCGTTTGTGAAGTAGTAGAGAAAGGGAGTGCGGACATGCAGAATATTCACACTAAAGACAACCTAGCATATGTTATGGCAATGTCGATCAACGCTCACAAGTTTATTTGGTGTATGTCCTCTCATGGCCTATTTAAAGCGCAACAACATGAAATTGACAAGAAAAAATTTAGAAAACAAAATGACTTTAACTGAGAGATTGTGAGGACGTAAAGTCATAACATATTTGTTATGTGGAAAAAAATGTCAATGCAATAGTAATTATTGGTGAAGAAAAAACTATGTACGATTCACTCATATGTATCCATTTATAGTGCACAAGACTCTTATAAATTGAGAACTCATATTGTAGTTTTATAATCATTCTATAATCATCCAAGAGTTTTAGTTAACATTGTTTCTTCTCATTTCTACACTCTTGTCTCATATTTTAACGGTGTTAATATTATTTATGTTACTCTGTTACCCAACATCTAAAATCATATATGCTGGAGATCATTGAAATTCATTTTTACATTCTTTTAGTTTTTCAGTCTATTGAATAACTAGTTTAATGATGATACATTGTCTGTGTAAATTAGTTTTGCAACTTCATTCAATACATAAGCTCACTTTGCAACTGCATATTAAAAATAATTACAAAATACTTTATTGCATGGAAGTGTAAAACTAATTTATACCGACATTGCATGTCCCATTTTATTTTGAATAATATGCTTTCATTTAGTTAAATACAATGTATGTACTTACATGCTAGATCTTATGTCAGATGTCTGAATTTGATTTTTTTTTTGGGATAACATGAATTCAGCTACTCAATTCTTGTCAAGAGGAATTCCATTTATATTCAATACATGGATTGTAAGGCATCTCACAGAAGAGGACTACGCGGTAATATTTTGTTCTTCCAATTTTTTATTTTTGTTACCATCTTTTGGGTGTATGATTTTAACTTACTCCTTAAAATGTAATTTAATTCATGTTAAGAGTCCTGAACATTCCCTTTCTTTGGTTATATATGGAAAAGTCCTTTTGAACCTTTTGTCCACTTGACCCTGTGCTAGAAAGAATTGAGGGTGCTGCTGATTGCATGCTTGCCTAGTCGAAGATCCCTTGTGGTCTTTGGAAAGCCAGAACCGACCCACTTTATTGGTGCAAAATCATCATTGGTTTTAGAGCTCAGCCAGGTTATCTTCACTTGGAATGGATTCTTTGATATCACACTGGATAAAGGCATAGTAGCATGCCATGCCATCTTCATCGTCATATGCAGCCCGCACTTGGTTCTCACCAAAAGTGTCCTCAATTCGGTTCGCATCAAAGTCATGGAAATCTGGGTCTGGAACACTCATTGAGACAGAAAGAGGTTCCTCTGAATCAGCAGTGATATAGTTGTTGTTGGTTTCAGAATCAACAATTTCTTTTGGACCAGGCTTCACACTATTAATAGTCTTTTCTTTCTCCTTCACTTTGACTTCCGCACAAGTATTATTTAATATAGAAGACGGATACCGTTCATCAAGCTTCTTACAAATTACCTTCCACTCATCAAGCTTTCTAAGACTCTCCTTCCACCATGAAGTTTCTTACAAATCTCCTTCTGAGCCTTTTCCATCAAGATGTTCCTCATTTTAGGCTGAGACATGCCCCTAATACCATTTCGTCTGGAATTTCTGGCAGCACTAACCTTTCCTGCATCAAAACTATTCTTCAGAGACCCAGACACATCGGTTGAGTTCATTCCTTTTTTTGATGCCTTTTCAGCTTCCATGCCTCTTCTGTCACTATCAACTTTATGTTCACCTGTGCACCTTTTTTTTCTTCTTTCCAAGAGGGATGAAAATATGAACCCGCAACAGCTCTTTCAACAACATGAGTTTTCCCAAAATGTGTCTCCTCATTCATGAGAGGTGTCGAATCTTCATGCCTTCTCTTCAAATTCACAGATGGTCTGTTAAAAAGACCAAGAGCTCCAGAAGCGTAGAAACTGATGCCGGTCCACTGGAAATGCCACTCGGCATAGAAAAAGGACCTGGCCCAAGCGATGAGTTGATGGCAGACATCAGTGTCCTACTTGAAATATGGTGTTTCTTACCAATCTGGTTGAGTTGAAGTTATGCTGCTTCAACAAAGAAGCTCTTGAAGTGGGTGAAGCATTTGCGATTAAAGGCGAGGCTGGTTTCTCAGAAGCAAAAAATGGCTTGTTGCAGCCGGCACAAACAATATTGCAGTTTCTATAAACAGCAAAGTACTCATAGTGTGTCCTGCAGAAATTGCACTCATATGATCTATGTCCTTCCCGATAGGAGAATTAAACAAACCATTATAACTAGTAGGTACAGAAGGTCTTGGAGTAGGATTGGTATGAGCGCCACTCGCGAGATCTGTCCTTCCGGTTAGCAGCTTAAACAAACCACCCTGAGTAGCAGGTTCAGAAGATTTCCCACCAAGGTTAGCAGTACCAAACAAACTATTCCAAGGTATACGTATACCACCAATAATCCTTTTGAAGGACTCCCATAAGAGGCACTTTTGATCAAAGGCGGCTCTCTTAGCTTTATCAGATAATACAGTCCATGCCTGAGAAACCAGCTTAAATGTGCCATTTGCACCCACCGACTTGTTTTTATCCGGATGCAGAGTAAGAGCCATCTGCCTGTAACATTTCCAAGTAGTTTTATCATCATCCAAGGGCTGTGCACCATGAACCTCGCAGGGCCGAGCCTTCGTTGCAAGTAGTTTTGCAACACCAAAATGTTCCTGTAAGAACCTCTTCTTTTCCATCCTTTTAGCCCTTAAGGCATAATCTTTGGAACATTCCATTACTAACTGGTTTGTTTCTCCGGCTAATCACTCTTTTTGATTCCCTTCTTTAGAAGCATAACACCGAAGCAACACCAAGAATCCGACAACTTGGTGTGTGCAGTAAAGATGCTTCCATTAATCTCACAGGCCTAAGAAACCCTTAACACAGTGGAATGAAGGATAAGAAGAAATTGAAGTGAGTTTCTCACTTTAGACGAGTCGTATTCCTTAAAGTGAAGTGTTTTCCACTTACTTTTCCAGTTGTGATGATTATTTTCATTTACTTGGATTTGATATAGCATCAGCAATCTGTATACCTTTTTGTCGTCTGCTTTAGTTATTATATACTTCTTTATTTAGATGTCATTTTTGGTGTGTATGTGCTTTGTTGTCGTTCTGTGTTGCATTGTAAACTTAATTGATAAAAACTGATTTACCATGATGTTACCTTTTGTCATGCAGATGTATGCAGTGCAGTTTCATCTATTTGTCACATGTGTTTTATTTCTTAGCCGGGAGGGTTTCCGACGAGCATGCATGCGGATGGATATAAAACGGTGATTCCTTATATTTTGCTAATTCTATCATGTAGGAATAACCATGTGCTTAGAGAACTGTGTTCTACAATGTTTTGTCAAGTTAGTTTGGCTATTAACAATATATGTTGGTGTGCTCTCATTGTTCATTGGGCTATGGGCCTTCTGTCTTGCATGTAGCTAACTCTATTGTACTGGGCCTTGGGCCTTGGTTTCTGTTGAGCTTGCACAACAGAATAACTAATGGGCCTTAGTTTCTGTTGAGCTTGCATTCAGCTTGCATATTTCAACGGAATAACTAATTCTGTTCGAGTCAGTTTCATGCAGTTATAACTGCACTGTACTATGGAAGAAGCTCATGGTATTCTTAAATTGTTTTTCTTGTTGGACGCATCACTAGTGACTTGGCTTCTTCCATGCTGGATAATGAGGGGTTTGTTAGTTCTTTTAGTACTCTTTGTTATCCCTATCTAATCTATGCTTTTGAACTACTCATCTATGACACGCATCAGCATAAAATGAGTTTAGTGTTTGGTTTAGATCTATAGCATCACAGGTAAGTAATTATTATTTTATGATGCTTTAGATAAACTATGTTATTGTTTCAATCCGAAGAGTTATTAAAATTCTGATTTGAGTCTCTCGATTATTGGTTATACCTATATCTATATCTATATCGAATGTCTTAGAATTTTGAGTCTGGCTTAACTCAACTATCAAAACCGGTTTGTAAGGTGGTGAGGTTTTCCTCCACTTATAAACATATTTCAGGCCATATCTCATTTGATTTAAGACTCTTATTACACCCCTTCAAGCCTAATAGTGTTGGGCTTGATGCATGCCTTAAAGGTTATTAACTTTTTTTATTTTTAAAATTGAATTTTCCTATGCTCTTGCCTGAGCTCCATTAAAATATATATTTTTCATATTATAGTGATGATACTTCAATGGAAGAAGATGTCGTGAAGCTAATGAAAGTAGCGTGGATGAGTGTCCCACTTGGCATATTTGTTACCATTGTAGCTTGCCTTTTTGTCTTCTGGTGGCAACAAATAAGTTATTTTAGTCCTTATGGGCAAGCTGTCTTGGTCAATGGTAATCCACCGAAGCTTACTGTTAAAAAATATTAATGTACCGTGGGTTTTAAAAAACAGTCCGCGACCGCGAAAACGGCCGCGACAAAACGATTTCAACAAGTGCCGATACCGATATCTTTATCACCGAATTTATATTAAAGAATAAATTGTGATTAATTCACACAGCGATGACTGCAATCAGTGTCGCGACACTTGTACCGACTGTAATCGCAAAAGCCTTTAAGCGACCGCAACGCAACCACGGCCGTTTTTTTAGAACCCCATGCATCCTGGAATAACTGTTCAAAGTATCACAATTTGATCTTTTATCAATGAAGTTCTCTTGTTATGCCAGGTTGTGCGTGCATTTTGGAGCTGTTGGCCGAGCCTTTGTATATTCTTTCCCAGAACTTGGTCTTGCTTGAATTACGGTTGATGGTTGAGACAGTAGCTACATTTTCACGGTGCATGACAATGTACTTTTTAATTGTCAAGCTAACTGGAATGGTAATAACTTAGCTATACTGAGCATATATTTTAGTCTTTACTTTCCTTATCATTAAGCTGACAGTCAATGTGTTTTCTACTATTCTTGTGACATACCAATGACAGGTTAGTTATTGGACAAGTTTCTCTTTTGTCAGCTACTGTTGTCTTTACAAACTACTTACTGTTGTTTTTCTCTGTACAAACATTTTTTTCTAATTTATTAAAAGTGAGATTATTAGACAGCGTATTCTATTAATTTTTGCTTCTATAAATAATTCATTTGTTACATTCTCGACGAACCGAAAGCTGTTCAGATGAATAAGAAATGCAATCCAATAAGCAGGAGCAATTACAGAAACTGGAAGTTAGAGAAGTTAAATTACAATAAAAAATAGATTATTTGCTGATGATTTAATCTGTGATAAAAAAAAAATCTTATTGTAAAACCTCTACAGAATAGTTCTATACATAGATGTCAAACCCCACAAATTCTAGCCTTTGACTCTTTAATTGTCAAATTTTGGCAGTTTAATGGCCAAGCAAAAGGAACTTCTAGTGCTTCACTCTTGCATTATGGATAGTAAGCAACAGTGTTGCTTCTTTCAAGTAATTTATTTCATTAGTTTTTGGAAACAACATGTCTGAATTAAAAAAATCCATATTTGTTTGTTTCATTTCCCTATCCTGCATTTTATAAGAACTAGTTTATCAAAGTGCATTGGAGTTTGATGTATACTTATAATCCAGAGTTTACACAATAGTGTGGTGGACTTTGGTAATCTCCATGTAACAACTGATTTCTGAGGTGAATGATAAATTCCAGGAAAAATCAATCATATTTGCGTTGTCACAGTCTGCTTATGGAGCCTGCTTATTTCTTGGTTATTGGGGATATCTGCTTCTTTTTCGGAAACTTAGCTATTCTTACCTTTTCCCATTCAGGTACAGTTTTTTGTTTTTGACATAAATTTCTGCACATGGTTGATACCTGTTACTTCTATTACTTTCTCATCCAGAAGATGAAGGAAATTTAAAAGTAGGACTTTTCATAAATTTAGAACTAAAGGGTTGTGTACTTCTATTACAAGCAGTGGTCTGACAAGCTAATATAGGAATATAATAGGCTAGATCTTAAATCATTTCAGAGGGATCACATTTGCCTGAAGCTACTCCTTGTAATCTTGATTGATCAATTATTTTTCTGTTTTATATGTGGATGTAAGCCTTTAGTTTGCTGTCAGTTGAACAATGTTAAATTCCATGTCTAGTTATCTTCTCTTTTTTCTTGTCGGGTGCATGATAGGCCCATTAAGCACATGAAAACGGGTCCATGAATCGGGCTTGCAACCTTTTGAAAATAGGAAAAACTTGGTACAGATGCAGGAATGGAGAGAAAAGAGTGATGACAAAAAAGGGACATGTGGAAGGAAGGGATTGAAGGGGAGAATCTGGGGAATCTGGGTGAATCATGAAAAGGGTATTAGGGAGGGGAGGAGTAACCGTAGTGGGCAGTTTTTGAGATATTGGGTATGGTTTTGGTATATTTCCTTTTCCTTTTCCTTTTTTTTTCTCTGTTAAATCCATCTCAAACAAAGTAGTAATCTACTCCATTTCATTTTTCCTTTCATTACTGATTTCATTCGTTTCAGAACCATTGTAAGCGGATATCTCTTTTGTTTCAGTTCAGTATAGCAACAGATTACTTCTTGGTTTTTGAGCTCAATCCTAACTGTACACTTACCTGTATTAGTCTATTGTGTTGTGTCAGAATGATGCCAGTCTTAACCTATCTTGTCTTCTGATTACACATGATTTTCTCTTGATTTAATTTATGATATATTGAATATGCTTTGCAAGGAAATAGTGGAAACTTGATAATGTTTATGAACTTAATTTTGTTTGATGTTTGCTTATTTATGTTATAAGCGTGCAGTTTATAAGTAACAAATTTTTGCAGAAAAGGAAACTTTTTTGGATTTGACCAGCAGCTTTCGAAGATGTGCACGCTGTTTACCTTTCAATCGTTTCGAAAGCTAATTCTTCAGGAAGGGGAGAAGATAGTGCTTGTATGGTTTGATACACCATATAATCAAGCTGTATACGGCCTCGTGGATAAATTAGGTCAGTATATGGGTTAGATAATTTGTGCTAGTCGCTAGAAAGCTTAACTATTGTGTATCTAAATCTTCTAATTACATTAAGAGTACTTATTTTTTTATTAAGCAGCACTATTGTGTTTCTAAATCTTCTAATTGCATTAAGAGTACTTTTTTTTTTTTATTGAGAAGCACTATTGTGTTTCTAAATCTTCTAATTGCATTAAGCTTAACTATTGTTGTCTAAACATGATTGTCTTTTAAAGAAAATACCACCTTTCAGGTAGCTTAGTGGTGAGACTTGTCTTTTTACCATTTGAAGAAAGTTCATATACAACATTTGCAAGGTCTGCTTCAGGTTCTATTTCTTTCTTGCTTTTTTGATGCTTGAACTGTAAAGCTGTCTTGCTCTCTTTGCAGTTATTATTTACTTCTACTTCACTCTCCCTCATTATGATTTTCTGCCTCTTTAGAAATCATAATACATATAGCTTTTGGTGTTCTCATCTCTTGTTTATTATCTCTCTTTTCCCCATTCACTGCAGTGTGTTAGGTTTAATTAACTACCAGTTAATTATTATTGTTGTAGTTGTTGTTGTTTATGTTTAATCATAAAGCTTACTGTTATAGCTGGGCTTACGGCTATAGTGAAATTGCTTTCAATTTCACAAACTGAATAATGTTTTTGTAATGCCTGACAGGAGAATACCCAGGAAAACACAAGAAATTAGGAAATTGCTTGACTGAATCCCTCAAGTTGGTTTTGTTGATTGGTATGTCTTTTCATTTCACTTCGTATTTTATGCTGGATAAATATTTAT